CCCCAAAACCCCAAAACCCCAAAACCCCTTTGGGATCTTTTCAAATTGAAAACTGATAAATTTATTCAGTCAACTCTCCTGATTCATATCGAACATCCGTGTGAGTTTTCTTTGGGATACTGTAAAATTCATTGTCCTGCACAAGGCTTGTGTGTCTTACTTTCTCAAGAGCGAGAAAGTCATTAACTACTTCACTCTTGTTATAGCATTCAATAAAATCACCTTTTTTTGCAAAATCTTTAATATCTTGATGCAGGTTAAGCAGTTTGTTTCTCTGCTGAATCAAATTTTGAGCTCTAAATTTTAATAAATTTCTTACATTTTTTTGAATCTTCTATGAAACTGTTTCCAACTTTTATTGTGCTTATCGAATGAGGTTTTAGCGTGCTCTGAGAAATCAATCCCTAAAAATATGTTCTCGATTTCACTCCTTTCAGATGATTTTTCAAAATATTTCTCTCTTCTTTTCCTAAAGTTTGATTCTCCATCTCTAGTCTGGACTGGAAGGATAGTACTGCAAGCGTAGTATCATTTAGAACCTAGACTCAACATACTATCTAGTATTTCTACAAAATTTAAGAAATATTTTACTCTTGAATCAGATTTTAATGTAGTCAGCTCTATCTTCACTATTTTGTGATTTGAACATTTTCTTACCTCCACTCCCAAACATGCTCCATTACTTGCTCGAGCTCAGTATATCTAACTTCTTTTGGGTTTGTAAGAATTTTCTTAGATATGTTGTTGTAAGCATAGTCTTCATATTCATGCAATCTATGTTCAAATTGAGACTTTTGTCTTGTCTGAGGTCCTCTCGGATCAAGACTATTATTTTGCATTTCACTGATCTGCACTTTTAGTTTAGAGTTTTCTTGTTGCAACTGCTTAACTTGTCTCTTCAATTCAGCACATTCAGTAATGGTATCTTCAACAAATTTCTTCTTTCTAATTCTATGTTGTTTCGACCTCTCTTTGTTCGTCTTTGGTGGCTTTCTTATTTGGCTTGTTTTAAGATTCATCTTTTATAAATTATTCCAATATTATCTTGAGATTTCGGGGTTTTGGGGTTTTGGGGTTTTGGGG